ACGAGAATATTCCTTTAGAGGTGGGATTTAGAGGGATAGCAGTGCGGACAGCCTTAAACGCCCATTCTCGCCGGGTCTTTGTCCACCTAGTCACGTGGGGCTAAAAGACTTTTCTTTCGCTGGTTTCGACAGGGGTGGGTACAGACCCCGGAGTGTCCATTCGAGTTGCGGTTTTCTTGTTGCCGGGCAAGATCTCGATTCCATGCTCCAGCTCAGCATGACACAGCTGCTGGTACATTTCTCAAGTGGCGACCACATGACCTTTGTTTTCTACCTCGGGCCCCAGCCAACCGTACGTGCGTGCTACAGTAGGTTCTAGAGAAGAGAGGAGAATACACGCCTTTGCTTTTTCCAACGGGAGTTAGTGTGACGTGGTTCCTCGCATTTGAAAAGCAGGCCAAACTTTTTCCGATTCCGATCGGTGGCCGTCTGGCCGCCGAAGGATGCATTGCCATCTGCGGGGTCGCCCAGAAGACCACAGCTCCACATGTTTTTTTTTTTGTGACTTCACAGCTCCACATGGTTCCGCTGACTCCAAACACTTCTGTGCGTATACGTAGCAGCATTGGCGCTGGTACGTCGAGCACTCGGGTGGCGGAGTTGGGTCTGAATGTCGTGGTAAAAGAAATTTCAGTATACGTCCTGGACCTGAATGTCGTGGTAAAAGAACACTTGCATGATTCCATCTATACAATCGACGTGTCCTAAGTCCTAACGGAAACACAGGCACAAAAGGGCAGCATTTTTTAACAGTTATTTCATTTTTTTTTGGAACTAAGTGACATAAGAGCAACGCGCGATGAACAGAGGTGGCTGTATCTTAACGGTGCGCCGACGATCAGGTCGCACTGATCATCGTGGTTGCGGTGAGCCGGTGATGTGAGCTAGTTCTTCGATCGCGGCGAAGAGAAATCTAAAATCAGCCGGTCGTACCAATTCCGCTCTGGAGAAAGCTATTTATACGCGCAGCACCGCAACTGCCATCACTCATTCAGCCAAAGAACATTTCCCCTACATCGCCGCCGCCTAGCTCCCCCCTCCCACACCACGTTCACGTGCACGCAGCTCCGCCTCCGCGTGCACCGGACGCCACCCAGAAACCAACCACGAACGCAAGGCACGCAGGGGAAGGAAAGCACTGCGGGTAAAACGCATCCGCAGCAGCCAGCCAGCGACGCCAACTGCGCACCGACCCGTACGTTCGTTCCCCTATGAGAAAAAGGAGCTTTTGGGGACGAAAAGCGGCGCAAATAAGGGTGTGTCCGGTTGTGCTTCTAAATTTTAGTCGTTGTTCTATCGGATATTTGATATATGTTAGAGTATTAAATATAGACTAATTATGAAACTAATTACATGGTTTGTGACTAATTTGCTAGACGAATCTTTTGAGCCTAATTAGTTCATGATTTGACAATGTTTTGCTACAGTAAATATATGCTAATGGTGGATTAATTAGGCTTAAAAAATCGTATCGTGGAGTACCGACGGATTATGTAATTTATTTTTTTATTAGTATCCGAACACCTCATGTAATATCCTCCCGACACATCTCCTATATTTTAGTAGCGAACACCCCCTGATACTGCGCCGTCCCTTTGCGCATCCAGCTTGGGAGGATCTTGCGTGGCTAGCTCCGTGACACCAATCGGTGGAGCCATGCATCCATCTCGATTCTCGACTGGTCGTGCACCAATCGGTCCATAATAATACCCGATATCCTTCCTGTAGCCAATAGCCATGCGTAGCTTTCAGGTGCGCCGTCGCCATCGGTGGTGCTACTGCTACGGTCGGCGGCCGCGGCGAGACAAAACGGGTCGCTCCACGTTAATGGATCGCCCGTCCCGGTACGCGACGAGCGAACGCGCCGCCGCCCGTCGGTTGTTGTTGCACGATCGGCGATCGCACGCGCGCGCACGGTCAATTGGTGGTGATCGCGCCTCGGTTGGTTTTGCTCCCTTGTAGCTAGCCTCTTCCCTCACCGCGACTAGGCGACTGTTTGGTTGTTGAGACGAACCTGTTCGTGGGTGCCATGATTCCAGGCGAGCAGTCTGTTCATTTCGTCGTAAAAGATCGTGGATTATTTAGTACCGGCTGATTTGGTGTGAGAGAAAAATACTATTTCAACTTATAATCCATGATCGTATACGAGCAAACTAACAAGCTGAAGATTGTTTGGATACGCAACATAGCACACGACTTTAGAGGTCAAGATGGACTCGTCAAAGGGACAAATTACGGTTTGATTTGATTTGTTTACAGCCAACTGAAGCCACGAGGGAAAAACATATATATTCGGCGTGTTCGCTGATTGGTTTCTGGGTTGGTTTGAGCTGATTGATGCTAATTTGTTGTAGCAGAAAAACACTCTTGGCTAATTGAATAAGTCTGGCTAAAACCGATAAACGATCGGATTAATTATCAGAATTGCGTTTGCTGCTCGAGGAAGATATCGTGCCGCGCGTGGGTCTAGAACAGCTGTAAAGGACACAGGGTGGCAAAAGTCACACCATGATCATCGTGCGGTGTCAGAATCAGCAGCAGGGACGTCTTCCAAGTTCCAAATCCATAATAATTGTGGATTAGCCATCAAGATGATGTAAACAACTATCGCGGTCAGACGGGAACGGTCGCCAAAGCTTCGACATTCATCCGAGCGGGCCTGTCAATTTTGTAGAATCCACGTTGGCGAACACACCAACCGCCATATATTTGTTCGCTTTACCACGAGCGCGCACACGTGACGCAGCCCATCCCCATGTGAATCGGTGCTCTCACTGTTGCACTACAGCAGAGTCGGCATCGGTGGATCCCGTAACCCGACGAAGATCGGTGCACTTTGTTTAACCGAGTGACGCGTACCCGCCGTACGTACACAAGTGGGATGAGTCCGTCGACCCGGCAACGGTACGTGAACCGCGCACGGCGGCGCACCGTCACACCGATATCTCAAAGGTGACTTCTGCTTTTCTGCGTACCGTTCGTTTAGCTGATAAGACTGAAAATACTATTAATTAATTTATTATAAGAAAAAAATAGACTGAAAAAATATGCCTTATAAGAAGCGAACCTGGCGCTCGCTGCCGAGGCACAGGCGCCGACCCCAACAAATCTGAAACGTGACGAGCCAGAGAATCACGCGAGCCCCATAGTCCCCCCTGGTGGGGCGCAAATGGCAGCCCACACCCAGAAGAAAACACGCGAAAAGAACGGGGAAGAGACGAAGACACGCCAACAGGACACCCTGTGGACTGGACGGAGGGACCCGCGGGGCAGCGACCGTATCTCCAACCTGGCTCGGCTGTACTGCAGCGACACGAATCCCCACGCCCACACGCCCACACGCATCCGTTCCAGTCTATCCATCTGCATCCTTCCGCTGGTGTTCGCAGCCATCATCATCGTCATCAGTCGGCACCGCACCCTGCCCAGCAGTGCCCACCACCGTCTTCGAAGCTTCTCCTCTCTACAGGCAACTCTTCTCTCCTTCCCTCTTCGGTCGCCACCCCTCCTCCACGAGACGGCCGGCCGGCAGCGATCCTCGTCAGCCCAGACGCCGGAATCCCGCGCCGAGTACACTCGGACTCCCGCGTCAAGCCCTAGAGCCGCGGGTCCAGCGAGGTGATGATTCTCTCTCGGACTCTCCAAGGATTGATGTCGTTGGGCGGTTGTTCTGCGTTTCTAGGCGAATTGTGGTGCGCGGAGGCGGGCGATTTGGGGGCACGAGTTGGGTTCATGTTGGTCGGATCTTTCAGCTTTCCGTTTGTGCTGGTAGTATGCGTTGATGGCTTAGTTCTTCGTTTTCTGATTTTGGTACTGGTTAGTGCTAAGGAGTCCAGTCAGGGGTACCAGCCGGACGTTCTGTTAGGGTATCAGTGGAGAGTGGGGTGGATGATTCGTTCCGTGTGCGAGGAATTTGCGTAATTGTGTGGTGGGCACTGCGGTCACTGAATCAGTTTTACTTTTGCTCACCATTTCGATGGCTGATAGAGCACCCGCAGCTATGGTTCTAGGCATGTACCTAATCACCGGCACCGCCCTTGGTCTGGTTCCAGCTTGTGCTGTCCGAATCTCTGGCGGTTGGTTTCTGCAACGCTTGTCGGAGAATTGACGTGCCTAGAATTATCTCGGTTCAGATTCGGCCGTTACTACCGAAGGATTCGGATGACACATTAAAGATTCCCGAGTACGACAAAACGCGGTGCTATTAGTGGCATGCCAAGATTGGAGTGTGTACACTTGATGTACCATAGATTTGTGTGGTGGATTGGATTATTGTCGTATATTAGCTTTTGGTTCTCCGTGGATCACGTTTCAAGTTTGCGATAACTTAAGGAAGTTATTCTGTCCATGTGCCGATATAATTGTCCTTGAGGATTCTAGAGGGAAAAAAAAAGAAATTTCCATAAATGGAACATCTAGTTGTTTGATTTGATTTGTTTTCAGTAGGTGCCTATTTAGCCAATTTTCCGTTACATATGGTATGGTCTGAAAAGCGGTTTTCCGTTACTTGGGTTTCACCTTCCAAAATTTCTTTTTAAGCATGGGTGCATTATAAGCCAGTAGCCATTGTGGAACCTAGAATTTATGATCTGAGCTGTGCAGGATACTTTTGATATGGTAATGGCTCTTCCTCTTTGCCATTGCACTTCCCTTTTTTCTACTGCAGATTATAGTGTTTTCTTTTTAAAATTGATGTGATCAGTTTGTGCACTACACATGGAAGCTAATTTTTACCACATGCTAAATGGACTCCAGTGGGTATACAGAGTTGCTGATGAAACATCAACTTAATTTTCTTTCATGCCAGCTTCACTGAACTCTGGGATATTATCTGATAGCAAAATTCTTGAATACTTGATTGCAGGCACAAAGTTGATACCACTTTGGCGTCTTCCCTACGGAACAGCTTCCCTCAACACAAGCATTGATCTGCAGTGCATAGCATGACTTTGCATGCACCTTTGGCTTTTGTTCGTAATTGAGGCTGGTGCATTTTTATAATGGGTTCACGATCAAAAAACGAAGATGACAAGGCTCTTGTCTTGTGCCAGGAAAGAAAGCGATTTGTTAGAGAAGCTCTTGACGGAAGATGTGCTTTTGCAGCTGCTCATTTCGCTTATATTCAGTCACTCAGGCACACAGGATTTGCTCTCAGAAAATTCGTAGAGCCTGAAGTACCAACAGATTCCTCACTGTTCACATCAACATCTGCCACTCCAGAGCCTCCTACCATCATGCAGAAATCTACGAACCTATCTCCATCCCTTTCACATCATGCTAGTGACTCTTTCTCTCCAGTTCCCTCACCATTATCTTCAGGACGTTTCCATGTCAATCATATGAAAGCTGGGGGTAATTCAGTGACAACTGTTAAGGAGAAGGTGCTTGAACCTGTAACTGCAACTCTGCAAACATCATCCCCTGTGCGTGGACAAGCTATCCATGACCTGGATGATAGTTCAACATTTGAAGCTCCTCCTGGAACACCACCATGGGACTACTTTGGCCTTTTCCAACCTGTTGAGAGTCAGATCTCATTCCACGATGACAAGGAACTTGGTCATGACTTTGAGAATGATGATGATATCAGGCGTCTTCGGGAGAAAGAGGGAATCCCAGAGCTTGAGGAGGAACTGGAGAAGTCTCCTGCTTATCCTGATTATCTAAAAGCGGGCGCCTAGGAGAGGAGAAACCTCAAGATCTCAAAGATGTTGAGAAACCTCCTATGAATGGTGGAGAGGATGATCTTGCATTGTCAGAAGATGATTTTGACAATCCAACATCTGAATCTTTAGTGCGGATGTTCAAGAATCGCAATGATACGCCTGTTGCACATATTGCAACAGGTCAGTCACCCGCACCGCTTCCTATAGATGACTTAGCTTCAGAGACAATTGATTCTCAGGCTGAAAGACCAAAAGATGATCCAGCAGTTGATCCTCAGACCGAAAGACCAAAAGATAACATGGCAATCGATGCTCAGACTGAAAAAATAAAAGATCACACAGGAGTTGATTCTCATGCTGAAAAACCAAAAGATGACACGAGGGTACTGGACATTAGCATGTATGAAAGTGACAAAACCCCTGTTACAAGTCCTCTGAAAGAAACCTCAACTTCAACTGCTGCGTTTCCAGTGAACGGGAAATTCAAGGAACCTTTACGTGACGTAAGGAATGTGGCGAGGGACTTAAACTCATGCATGAAGGAGATTGAGATCTTATTTATCAAGGCATCTGATTCTGGAAAAGAAGTCCCAAGGATGCTTGAAGCAGACAAAGTCAATTTCCGGCCTTTACTACCAGAAGAAAAAGGTTATATTTTAGTAGATTTACATTACTGTTCCATAACTCACACATTGGAGTTTTTCTTCAAAAAGAAAGATGGAAAGTAGAAAGGTTTTGGGCTGCGTACACATCATGATATGAAATTTCCCTGCTTATTTGTTAGCAATGTAGCTTCATCTAGCGACCATTATTTTTTGTCACTCCATCTATAGATCTATTCTATTATTCTTACTATTGGAGTTATCTTTATACTTTGGTGCAGCGCCAGGATCAACAGCATCAGGTTTTTTTGCAACATTATTTGCTTGTTGCAGAGAGGAAGTCCCTGTTCCTCAACGTAAGTTATTTTACTCTTTAACTTGTAACTACTACATTTTGTTCCTTTTCCCCTCAGACGACACAAAGTTCCTATAAATGATTGTAGCACAATGTATTGTTAGTCTGACCCTATGCTATTTTTGTTTAGTTCCACTTATTTTTGGTACTTATGGAGAATATAACTTTGGCCATGGATTGTAATAATATGTTAGTTGTGTAGTAGTATCATATAATTAGATGTTGGAAGCAGTTTTGGAAATGACACTAGTATTCTCATTGCTGTGTGGTCACTTTTTGTACTGTAGTATAGTATGGTTGAAGTTGAAATAGCTAAGTAGCTAATGCAAATTTGGAGGTAGTGTGTTAGCCTATACCTTTCGCCGTGAGTAGTTGACGTGCTTGGTAGTCATTGCTGCGGCTGCAGCTGTTGTGTTACTGCAGCAGAGACTTGCGGCAACTGCAGCCTCAGCAATCGGTACCGATCAGGCTTAGTAGCGCTTTTATTATCGTCCACCATGACTTAAAAATATCTCATGCTGTGATGCAGCTCCTCCTCAGGCTGAAGTGCAGTACCTTACCTGGCATAGATCAATGTCTTCACTTTCTTCATCATCCAGAAATCCTCTTGGGACAACATCAAAGGAAGACACTGATGGTCTCACTGGAAATATCTTTGGTGGTGTATACATGAATTCTGGCAGTCATGCCTCCACACTGGACAGGCTGTATGCATGGGAGAGAAAGCTTTATGATGAAGTCAAGGTAAAATTCTCTTTTTTTCTGTTACCTGTTTTATGACTTCTATCCTGTGTGAGGATATATAGCAGGATTGGCTTGCTTCATTTATGAAATTATGCAACTCTGAAGAATATTAGCTTATCTTGCAAAGCATTTTTTTTTCTGCTCTGATATCAATTCTTGTAAAAATTCCATATCAAAGATGACTAGAAGATGGAACGAATAGATCATACTAAAACCCAAAATGTATTTGTACTGAGGTTCTGCCACACTATGATATGGTTGCGTGAGGGCTGCGGTTGCGCTTGTAACTTCACATGGCTATAAAGTGGGTATTACCCATTTATAAAGGGGCGACTACCCAGTCAGAGAGAGCTCCCGCCTGTCTCGGGTCCTGGGGAAGGGGTATTACCCATTTATCCTATAGTGAAATGCTTAAACAAACGTTTAACTTAATTTTATCTTGTTACAATAATATAATTGATGTACCTTGTGGAACCATATACCGTTTGTTGTACATGGGAAAAATATGTTGATTTCACAGTTTTTTTCCTCCATTCCTATTCCTTCAGGCAAGCGGTGCAGTTTGCAGGCAATATGATGATAAATGTAGGCAGCTAAGACACCAGGAATCAAGAGGAGAAAGCCAAATGAGTATCGACAAAACCCGTGCTGTTGTGAAGGATTTGCACTCCAGAATTTTAGTGGCCATTCAGAGAATCGACATGATTTCAAAGAACATAGAGGATCTAAGGGACAAAGAGCTTCAACCACAGCTAGAGGAATTAATTGGAAGGTATATTTATCCCTTCAGTTCAATCCAATTGGCATTTTAATGTAGTCCTGAATATGGTTTTGGCCCAGGCAGGATTGTGGTTTGTTTCGAACTGATTAAGGCACTTAGGCTAACATGGGATCATCAAATAAATGGGAAGTCTCATTAGGTAGCCTGAATGAAACTGGGCCCAGCTCTGGCCTGGTCCTGGTGTTTTTCAGGTCTCACCATAATAAATCATATAAGTAACTAAGGCCTGGATGAACTTTGCCAGTCTGGCCAGGTCCTGATGTCATTGTCCTATCTTTACTAGTTATGGAATTATATGGTTGATTGTCCTATCTTTGCGGGTACTGTATACATGTAACTTCTTTTTCGTCTTAATTGAAAGGCAGAGCTCCTGCCGTTTGTTTAAAAAAAAAAAATTACTCTGCCGTAGGATGTAACAAAACTCTGGTTATTTGCTGTGCACTCTGGCAATGCACTTTTCATAATCTTTTGTGATATCTGTATTGAACAAATACAATATTTGTTGTATTTGCAGTTTGACTTGCATGTGGGCAACAATGCTTGAGTGTCACCGGCATCAACATGATATCATTAAACTAGTATCCAACACTGGCAACATGAAGGCTTCAATTCGGTCAGAATCACAGTTCCAAGCAACTCTACTCCTTCAGGTTGAGCTGAACACATTATGTTCAAACTTTCAGAAATGGATAGCATCCCACAAAGCATATTTGCAGAGCCTAAATTCATGGCTACTCAAGTGTGTGAAGTCACTACAAAAGAAGAGGAAGAGTTCCAGGAAAAAGAAGGTCGAAGCTGATCCAATAACAAAGTATGCTGTTGCGCCCATATTTAAAACCTGTGAGAGCTGGATAAATTTGTTGGATGATTTACCAACGGATTTGGAGGATGCTGTTAAAGACCTTGCTGCTCATATAAACCGTTATGTGCCACATCAGGAGAAGCAATGGGGTGGTTCAAAGCGAATCTTATCGTTGTCCCATAGTGGAAGATCAAACGGGGAGATGGGGAAGTACAAAGAAGTGACCCCCTATGGATTTACAATCAAGTTTGGAGATATTTCTAGGGAAGCTTGAAATGTTCTCTAATATTTCATCGCAGAAATACATGGAGCTCAAAGAGGATATTAATAAGGCGAAGGAGAGGTATGAGAAGGCACAGGCAGACCAGCGGATTTAATTTCTGGCACAGAACATAACTAGTCATGTAGAGATGCCGTCTAATAGGCATAAATTACTTTTACCATTTTTTAAGTTGCAAGATAAGCCTAGGAACAAAATTGTAGAGTGTAGAGTACATGCTAAAATATACCGCTCAATTGCGGTTGTAAAGCGAGGTGGTGATAATTGAAGTCGAAGTTGCGGGGATATAAGATGTACATTCATCCTGAGGCTATATCAATACATGAGTTTTTTCTTCTTCACTATTCTCATCTATGCAGAGCTTACGAGAGTATTTGTGTACAAGGCGATGTGTTCTCGTGTCTTCCACCACTTTAGGTCTTGTTTAGATGTACCCGTATCCATCTTAATATATATGTGTTACGGTGGATTAGTGTGAAATTTAGTATAATTTCTACACAATCCACTTTAACCCACGTGAATTGAGTTAGATATAAGTGCATCCAAACAAACTATTATAATGGGTTTTTGGACTGCTGTAATTATAATTACATAAATAGGGAGGTGATGAATTGTGATTATAAATAGAGAGACGACATAGAGCAGCATCAAAACTTGAACTGTAATAATAAGTAGACATGCGTCAGGGCCTATTTGGTTTGTGGAAGCTGTAGAGTTGGGGGAGTGGAGCGATGGTTCTCATGGTGGTGCTGCTGCTATGGATGCTTTTGGATTTGAAGTTGGAATGGACTAATGGAGTCTGTTTGAAGCATAACCACAACGGCGATTCTAGCGCCGGGACGTCCGGCGTGCAAGTGCGTCCAGACGGCGGTCCCTTCCCAAAGCCTGCCCGCCCCCGCACGCGAATAGAACGGACCCCCCACCCGCCCTCGCGTAACGGAACTCGCCCTGTCCTCCGCTCCCCACCGCGCCCCTATCCCCAGTTCCCCAACGCATCCCGTTCCCCCACCGCGCCCTATCCCAAAAGAGCATGAAACACTTCAAGTGCAACACACATGAAAAAACTACGTAGTACAACATCGAGATATAAACACTGCAACATCGCAAAAATATATAGTGCAACATTGAAAAACATGCAGTGCAGTATAAAAAAATGTACTACAACAAAAAAAAATATGTACGGCAACATCGAAAAATATGTACTGCAACATCGAAAAATATGTACTGCAACATTGAAAAAATATGTAGTGCAACATAAAAAATTATGTGGTGCAACATCAAAAATTATGTACCGCAACATCTCAAGTAGTAGTACTGCAATATCGCAAAAACATCTGTTACAACGACCCAAAAATCCCATTGCAACATTCAAAAAACATCTATTGCAACGACCCAAAAATCCTATTGCAACACGGGAGGAACACGTGCAAAACAACCCCTGGCCCATCACCTTCGAGCTCGCCGGGGGAGGAGGGAATATAACCCCAGAGCTTGCCAGAACCCTAGCCACCGCCACGTCCCTCAAATGCAGAAGAGGAGGAGGAGGGCTCAGATCCAGAGGAGGAGGAGGAGGAGGAGGAGGGCTCAGATCCAGAGAAGGACCGACCTACCTCGTTGGAGCCACCGCCATCGTCCTCGTCTTCGGTGGAGGTCGTGGCCCGGGGTGCCCATTTGGTGGAGGCGCGATGCGGAACTAGCCGGTTGAGGCCAAGTGGGTGCGATGCGATGGAGCTGTGAATGAAGGGGTGACCGGTGCAGCAGCGGCCGGCGGCGAGGTGCGAAGGAAGGGGGCGGCGAGCGCTAGCCGATGGAGGCTGGAAGGGGTGGCTGCTGTTGTGACTGGTGAGCTGAGATGGAGGGGAGTTCTCTGAGTCAAGACGAGGGCGAAGGGCCGAAGGCGACGGGGGCATGGAACCCGCTGCGTGGTTGGGTTCAGGAAGGTGCGGAGAAGTGAGGTTTGTGTTCCGTGTGTGGGTCCGTCCGGACAGGATGGACGCCCACACAGTATCATTATCGTAACCGCAAAGGTGTCTTAATTCTTCCGAAAAGGAGGATTGTGTTCTTGATCCTTCTGTATGCATATATAAGTTCCTCATAATAAGTAGCAACAAAAACCCGTTGCTGGGCTCGGTTCAGCCCAACCCCAACACCGCGAGTCAATGAGTTACTAACCCGATGGTAAAACACAATCAATTATAATTTTGGAACCCACTACATTCATTCTACTCTCCAATCCTATAAAAAACATCTCATTTGAATGAAGATATTTCCTTTCATTAGTTCATAGTAGTCTTGGTTTTAATATGCCTCAAATCTGGCGGTGGATGTTTCCTCACACGTCCTACATTCCAGTTGGCTGAAATTATAGGCGACTTTCAAGTGACTCATTCCCTCTTTCCTGCGTGTGTCTTCCTCCTCTCCGGTGCGGCAGTGGATGGACGAGGCGGCGATGATAGGGTTAGAGTTTTGATTTTCCAGGATCTCCAGCGACCTTAGAAGGGAGAGGTCCGGAGGTGGCCGGGCGAACAGACGGCGATGGCAAGCGAGGCGGCAGGGAGCCGTGAGAGGGCGGGGTAGGACACCCGGATGGTAAGTGCTGGCGGCGGGGGCGAGGGCTCGATGGCGTGGTCACGGGATTGGGATTAGGGGAGGGCGGGGTCAGGCGCAACGGTGATGGTTGTGGGCGGCACGGCCGGCGGAGCGGGAGCCGCTGGCGGGGGCGGCGGGTGAGGTTGGTAGCGGGTCAGGCTATGAAGTGGTGAGTCGAGGAAGACAAACATTGCACCATGATCTTTAGCCGTTAGATCATCATCCAATGGCTCATGTTCGTCGTCCGAGAAAAATAAAAAAAAACAGACGTTTTAGCTAATCGGAGGTACTAGCACCTAGACGTCTGGCGCCAGCAGCGCGTCGGGACGCAACTCCCAGTCCTAGCCAACCAAACCGTGGCCTAGCTCCTAGTCCTAGGCCCATCAACAGGAGCATCCCATCTAAGCATCCCTGTGTAACAGAAAAAGTAAACCGAAGTGCTACATGCTCGTAAAACGGAAGGGGAGAGCGTGCGCTCATGTCCCGCCGTTATCCCCGGCGCGGCCCCTCCCTAGTCTAAGAAGGATGTAAGGCAGCAGAAGACGATGAGGGAGATACAACATCCAATCTACTTTTGAGACATCCAAATACAACACTTGCAACATACGTGTGAAGACAGATGAAACATTTGAAACATGCATCTGAAACCCTTACAACAAACAGATGAAACAATTGAAAACCATTGCAATACATACGCAACATTCACATAAAATACTTGCAACATATGTGTGAAACATACGCAACATATAGATAAACACATTTGCAATATATGTCTGAAAAAACAGATAAAACATTGGAAACAAACATTCGCAACATAAGTGTACAACCATTTTAACATATGCAACTTCCCGTTCTAATTTTGCAACATCCATACGAAACCCCGTACCTCTTAAACCCTTACAAAACTCTTTCATACTCTTTATTCTTTCCTATGCGCGTGCTCGATAATTTTTTCTAAGTGCCAAAAGATTAGGAGATGGGACTGAGAAGTCTTGAGATGGATTTTTTCTATTTAAAAAAAAACCCAGTGGGAGCAATTCTTCCCTCTTGTCCCATTACACCTTCTAGTGGGCCATACAGCCCAACACGGATGGCGGACCCAAACAAAATCGCCGATTAGTCCGCTTCGCTCCGACAAAGTCCAGATATACCCTCCCATTTCTCGCGGCGGCCACGGCCCACGGCCACGCCGTAGATCTCCTCCTCGTCCCAGGGCTCCGGCGGTCTCGCCGGCGGTGAGCTGAAGTGATGGAGCTCTGGAGCAAGCTGCGGAACCTGGATGCCTACCCGAAAGTGAACGAGGACTTCTACAGCCGCACCCTCTCCGGCGGCCTCATCACCATCCTCTCCTCCCTCGCCATCCTCCTGCTCTTCTTCTCCGAGATCCGTATGTATAATCCCCCTCTTCATCTCGGATTTACCCCTCGATTTCGCTTGCCTAGCTGCGGCAGAGCTTGATCTCGCCGTACCATCTGGTGCCTTTTTTTTTTGGTTCGGTGCGGAACGAGAGTAGATTGTTGTGGAATGAATTGTGCGTGTTTTCATACTATGGTGTGAATTGGAAGTAATAGTTTGTTAAAACTCGCGGCCTGGTTAACATGCACCAGAATTCGAGTACGGCAGTTAACCAGGCCTGGGATTCCCTGTTCGGCTGATGGTTTTTGCGGCTGCTGTTTTATTGTCGGAGAAAAACACTGTAGCATGGTTGAAGTGTAAAATTGCAGTACATATATTAATTTGCAGCAGCGTGTGTTATCTCGTGATGGTTTTGTTGATGTTGTATCCTAGCTGGTGTCATCAGAAGACTGGATAGGAATTGGTTTTGTACCTTTTTTTTGTGTGACTTGTGTGACCACTTGCAATGAGTTAGTTTTCTGTTTAACTTCCCCAACTAGGTTCCATCTAGTTTTTGGAATTGCTCCATCATTTTGGTGTTTGTGTTTGATGCTAAATTTCTGTTCTCTTTATTTTTGCAAGTATGGTTGCTATATGGTGCTACGTGTGATAACCTTTACCCATACTATGGGCTATAACTGATACTTGCTATTTTTTTTTCATGCTAAAATCACAAAGAACAGCTTAACTTGTTAGATGCTGCAAGTACCTCTTCTCACAATATAGCTTGCTCCATGCCTCTTTATCTAGATAATAATAGTTTATTAACTGTATGTCAACCTAATATTCTGATAACTTTCCTGTAGGGCTTTATCTATATTCTGCTACGGAAAGTAAGCTCACTGTGGATACCTCAAGAGGGGAAAGACTACATATCAATGTTAGTCCCAATGCTATTTCCCCATTGCAAACCTTCTAAATGACTTGTAATTTCTAGCAGCTCTTACCATATTTAGAAAGCAGGCTATCGAAACTTATGTTCTTTGTCATGTTTCATCCACTTCAACTTAGTCTATGGTCTATTAGCTGTGTAAAATTTGTATTTTTCTTTTGCTTAAAGATTTGACCTCAGATTGTCTTCATGTTATGTTCTTGGCGCATTAGAACTTGGCAGGTAGTGAACAAGCTATTTGTAGTGTTTATACAGTCAAATATGAAAGAACAATTAGCAAGCAGCTAGCTGAGAATATTCAGAAATTACTAATTTGGCGAGGCCCAGGTCCAGAATATGCCATTTTTTCTGTATGTGAAGATGCTGCTTTTCTTTTGGATCGTTAATGTACATAATCGCTTTTGCAGTTTGATGTTACGTTCCCAGCCCTTCCTTGTTCTCTAGTTGCTGTTGATACAATGGATGTCAGTGGAGAGCAACATTATGATATAGTATGTGCAACAATTTCCGCCACTTTTCTCTTTTGTTCTCTGTTTTACGTCTTGTAAGTTGTTTCCCAAGCTCTACTGCATAAAAGGTTTCCTGATCGGCTAAGCATCCATTTTGCAGCGACATGACATAACAAAGAAAAGAATTGACCATCTTGGTAATGTAATTGAATCAAGAAAAGACAGAGTTGGTGCCCCTAAGGTATATCGTTCCACTTGTAACTTAAACTGGCATATGAGTGAAGTTGTCCTGGTTTTGCCATGATGTTTACCAAATTGGACTTGCTTTTAGCAAATGCCATGGTTTTTCTTACTCTGGAATATAGCCATTTGGGCGTATTTTATTGGTCATGTTTTAGACTATCAGGGTCTGTTCATGCTGAAGTGCTGAACTTATGCACAGCGCATAGAGCTTACAGCTTCACAGAAATTTCACATTGGAGCCATTAGAAGATGATAGCTACTGTTTGCATGCATGAACAGAGTGCCTGAACCATAATTCTGGCACACAAAAATAATATGGCATCCAGGGGGGCTGGCGCCCTCCTTATCTGGACCATTTCCTGTGATTGTCTAACGGAAGTTGGCTTCACAGTGCTAAGGTGAATTTTTTCTACTGCGCAAAGGTTAAATCTCCTACCACCCACTAGAATGCATACCTGATTTTGTTGGAAAGCCGCCTCAGATGGATTCCACAGATTTGCTAAGGTTTCATGATAGCGTTCTTTATTGGAATGCAATTTCTGATGGGAACCAGAGCTTTCCTTATGTTCAGTACCTGCGATGGTTTTACGGCAATTCTATTCTTCATGGTTCCCATTTTATGGACATGTATCTCACAAATTTATGGTAAACCGGTGATGACATTTAGCTCTGAAACTTCCATATCCATATCGGACTCTTGAAACGGTCTTCAAACGTGCCTGCATTAGTTTGGGTGTTCGTTTATGTTTGCAACTTATAGAAGATGGAACATTCATCAGATAAAAATGGAAGCCTTTGTGTATATGAAACTGAAAACTTATGCTGCAATAGTATAGGCCATTGAGGTTTGCAACTTATAGAAGGTGGAACATTCACCAGATAAAAATGGAAGTTATGCTGTATATAAACTGAAAACTTATGCTGCAATAGTATAGACCATTGAGTAGACAGTTTATTCTGCATCCCTAGAAAGCATTGAGCTGCCTGTCTGAAGTTTTTACTGGGAAGCTGAAACATCAGTTGCCGTTGGTCTCCATCTCTGATGCAGCAACGAAATGAATGGTCCAGATAAGGAGGGCGCCAGCCCCCTGAGCGCATAATATCCGCTTTGTTCTGGTACACAACACAGCACAACAGACTGCCTAAGGGCTGCACCTCACCGAGGCCCAGCCTGGATCAAAGTTGATGCACCATGGGGGGCTTGTAGTGACTAGTGACAGTCTCATAGAAGTAGAAGTGTAGAACATGGGCAGCTAGCACTGAGACGGCTGCATAGGCCGGAGTTTCCTGGTTTGCCCCTGCATAGGTTGATCATATCATGGTCTAAAAAATGGGGCCAGACTGGTTTTTTCAATTGTAAAAATCCAGAACTTATCACTTTAGCTATTTATCTCAGAGACTGCTTAATGATCTGGAAAATCAGATGAGCTGTTTTTTTTGTCTTTTAGATACCATTGAGCGGTATGGGTTAAGTGAGGCGATCCATTTTTTGCAGTGACCAGGTACCCCCTTTCTGGTTATCACTAATTCAATCATCTGTGATGTCGGCTGTGCCATTGTTGTCCCAATATGCAGCAGATGAAACAAAGATGAAGTGACTGTGTACAGTTTTTGTTCCCTCTTTGTAGCAGCATCCATGGATTTTTATTTGCATGAGAATTACTCTCTTTACCAGTACCTTTTGATTGCTGGTATGATGCATAGAAGTGTTTTTATTTATACTTGTTTTGTTTATTAATAATGTTAGCAATGTCCATATATTTCAATATCTCTTCAGTGAGCTTTTGTATGACTTTTTTTTTTTGAATAAGCTTTTTTTTTTATGACTGAGTAGAGGTACCTAGAGATTTTTTCTTTTCTTGAACACACAAGGGAGTCGTGTATCATTATATTAAGAAGGAAAAGGGTGAAGAAACCCATACAACTCACACCCACCTCACACACTTGCACTCCTCCCTGGAAACACAAAAACTCGACCTCGACCAATGGAGGTACCTAGAGATACCATGTTAGTTATTGTTATTTTGATATTTTCTTTTACCTTCTGATAAAATTTTTGGTATGTCCCGATGACAGTCTTCTTTATATAAGAAATAGAGCTAACAATGATGTAAATACATTAAACTGTTATATTTAATAAAGAAATATTGATCTGACTCGTGGACTGACCTGCTTAAAGCCTTAAACTGTGGTCATAATTTCATATTACATGTTGGAGACCACTGTAAAGATGACATGGACCAATTTGTATAATAGCGATTTCAAGCTTGGTGGTGGCATTAAGAGGCAGCCATCTTCCTTGACTAATTGTCAAATGTGGAATAACGACATATTTCTATTGCAGGAAGTTGTTTTTCCTTGAACTAATTCCCTCTCTGCATCCTGGTTTATCTTGTATAGATTGAAAGACCGTTACAGAAGCATGGCGGTAGGCTTGACCACAACGAGGTTTACTGCGGATCTTGTTATGGTGCTGAGGAGGTATACATCTCTGACATTGTTACATTGATGTTACTTGTACATGCAATGTTTTCACACTGATCATATTTGTCCCATGGTTTCTCTGTTACTCCAGTCAGTAAACACCACTAGATTTCTCCTTAAGAATTTTATTGCATTATCTAATAAGCCCTAATATTCGTGCCTGCAACATCACCAGACGGATGATCAGTGTTGCAACTCCTGTGAAGAAGTTCGTGATGCGTACCGGAAGAAAGGGTGGGCTATCAACAACGTAGAATTAATTGATCAGGTAAGGTATTGTGTGCTCTATTAATTTTGGCTAGTCTTTGAGTGTAGCACAATCATGTTCATTGAAATGAGTCAACTCTTAACATAACCCATATGTGTAGCATCTATCGTGAGCTTGTGATGCATGATTTGTCCTCAGGTCCTTAGTTCTGGTACATAGGGAGCGTTATTTTTTGCTAAATAGATAGTTTCTACCATGATTAGAAATATTCAATAGGTTTTGTGTGTTAGAGCTTGAGCTGACTTATGCTTTCACTAATTTATGCTATATAGGTTTGTGTTTCTTTATCGTTTTTTTTTCCGAGAACGTGTTTGGGCACGAAGGGCGGGCCTGGTGCAAGCGGTAGAGTCTTACCGCCTGTGACCGGAAGGTCCCGGGTTCGAGTCGCGGTCTCCTCGCATTGCACAGGCGGGGGTAAGGCTTGCCACTGACACCCTTCTCTAGACCCCGCACAGAGCGGGAGCTCTCTGCACTGGGTACGCCCTTTTTTTTTAACGTGTTTGGGCACGTATTTCATTAAGAGGAGTGTTTCTATATCATCTAACAAATTATTGTGAGGCAACCACCTCCTGGTGACATAGTCATTATATGTTTGTACTATGGGCAAGGATACTGAATAATAGGAATTATGATTCGTATCCTTATTGGCTAATGACCGGACACCTTTTTTTAACATGTACTTGATGTCCATTTCTTTAAACTTCAAAGCTATTTGTAAGCCACCTTAATTTGTTTGTGCATGACTGCATGTCGCCTCCTATTACTCCACTAATGTTTTGTGCTGCATGCAACTAATTCATGTAGAAGGTTTTGGTTCTTTAGTTTTGCTTTGTTCTTATGTTTTGCTTAATCAAGTATACTCAAAATTCCAGTGCAAGAGAGAGGGCTATGTACAAAGGTTAAAAGATGAAAAAGGGGGAAGGTTGTACCATCCATGGATTTGTAAATGTGAATAAAGTAGCTGGCAACTTTCACTTTGCCCCTGGGAAAAGCTTGGACCAATCATTCAACTTCCTGCAAGATCTGTTGAACATCCAACCAGAAACTTACAATGCAAGTAGAGCTAAATTAAATTCTCTTTATCCTTGTCGGAGCACTTACCATATTGCTCATAACCGTAAACTGATATTTGTCCATTCCCCACTTTTTTTTACTGGAAACAGATAAGTCACAAGATAAACAAGCTGTCCTTTGGGGAAGAGTTCCCAGGTGTCGTCAATCCTCTTGATGGGTATTATTTGGAACTTAGACTAAACTTCAGATTGTAATTTGCATTTCACTTTGCTCTACAACTTTTCCATGGTCTAATTTCCCCAAGCGTTCCAGAGTTGAGTGGATACAGGATAACTCCAATGGGTTAACGGGGATGTACCAGTATTTTGTGAAGGTAAATTTTTGGTAATTACTAGTCATATTCTTTAATATGATTCCTTATGTTTAAGCTTCTGCGAACATGAAAATATATCAATACAGATTTCCATGGCTTCAACTTGCTAATTATATCTTTTGTACAGGTTGTTCCAACAATCTACACAGATATCAGGGGGCGCAAGATTCACTCAAATCAGGTAAATAGCCCGATCTTCTTGCCTAGTTCTACTTCTGAAGCCTAAGTTTGTGAATAATTCTCTGTTTCCTTTTGCAGTTTTCTGTGACAGAGCACTTTAGAGAGGCAATTGGCTATCCTAGGCCTCCACCTGGTGTATACTTCTTCTACGAATTTTCACCAATTAAGGTGATGAATGATATCCCTGTGATCATTCTGTATAGTCAGAAGTGTTGGCAAGCATTTCTTTTCTATCCAGCCTGAGTCATCCATTGACCATTTGATAGCATGCAACTTTTGATATTCAATCAACCTGTTGCTCTAAAAGCGTAAAGCAGGCACTGCATTTATTACTTAGAATTGACCATAGTTCTAATTCTCCCGCTATAGCTGCCGCCTTTTGAGGCAGGGTGCCGCTATTTGAGTTCATGTACAATTTAGCCGCTATATCCCGCTATAGCCCGATATAGCTCCACTATTAGCTGTTTAGAGATATACCGCTAAACACCTTAGCCCGCTATTTAAAACATTGGTGACACTTGAATTTTCTTATCTTGTTGGTCTCTTTTCGATAACATGCGAAAATCTCCTTCTGTACAGGTATTGGTCATCCTCTATTTTAAAATTCACTAGTTTGTCTGACTGTTCCTTGATAGGTTGATTTTACTGAAGAAAATACATCGCTTCTTCACTTCCTGACAAACATATGTGCTATTGTTGGAGGTCTGTCACAAACTTCTACCTGCAACTATTTTGAGCTTCCTCCAAAAAAAGGAAAATGTTTTGGTGCTATCTAAAATGGATAATAAGCAAGAGTCTGAATTTCTAACCCATCGCTGTGGGCTTATGGCAGGTATTTTCACTGTTGCTGGCATCATAGATTCTTTCGTCTACCATGGTCATCGCGCCATCAAGAAAAAGATGGAGCTTGGAAAGCTTGGATAACTACATTTTTTGGGCATATAGCAATTAGGACCATAAGAAGGGCGGGCTTGGTGCAAGCGGTAGAGTCTTACCGCCTGTGACAAGAAGGTCTCGGGTTCGAGTCGCGGTCTCCTCGCATTGCACAGGCAAGGGTAAGGCTTGCCACTAACACCCTTCACCAGACCCCGCACAGAGCGGGAGCTCTCTGCACTGGGTACGTCCTTTTTTTTATAGCAATTAGGACCATAGTGAAAGCGAGTTTAACTCGTGCTGCACTGCCTCAAAAGGTTGACGAAGATAATTCAAGAGGGATTCTGATCCGCTGGGATGCATCTGTAGCCATTCAGACTTGTTAGCTTGTCTAAAGCAGACGGCTGAGGCCTGTAGACTCTAGTCGTGGATATGCAGCTCCGTTATGGGAAAACTCTCTGAGCAGAAGCATCACTGCCAGCGAACGTTTGAGTTATTGGCCAAGTATATTGCAATGTGCAACTCAGACCGCTGTTAAAATTTGTGACTCTGCTCCGTGCCGCGTATCACTTTTGCTTGGGTCGCCGTCTCCAGCATTTACTCTCTGGACTTGGATGAGGCCGGAGCTATTTTCCGCACATAGTACACGCCATGGCGGCGGCGGAGGCCACGCGCAGCGCCAGCGCGCCGTGTGGCTGCCCATGTTGCCATCCCGGCTGCCGCTGCGCTGTCGGTCCGGGCGCCTTGAAACCAGCGGGAGGCAAGGCAAGCGACGGCGGGCGGGTGTCTCTCGCCCGGCCGGCTGGCCCGGCGTGTCGTCGCTCGCCCTTCGCCACTCGCGATCGCGATAGGCGCCAGGGCCGGCAGCCCGGCTCTGGGGCTGAAAAGGAGGTGGTCATGCGGGCTATCGCGCGGGCCTTTTTCACGTGGCCGATGGCAACGTTACGGCAGAGAGGAGAGGAGAGGAAGGCAGGATGGGCCCCCACCCCATCGTTGTCGTCTTGTCTGAATTTTTTATTTTTTGGCCTTTTTTTTGAAAGTTTATCACAAATATGTCCCTAGAGGTATGCTTTCAAAATCTGAACCCTTAGCTCGGCGCCATCATTGGTGGCGCCGAGCTTACACGTCTTAGCGCCAAAGTGTTTGGCGCCTAGGTTGGGGGGCCACGTCGGCATCAAAGTAGAGCCGAGGGTGACATGGCAGCCAGCTCGGCACCGTGGATCTTGGCGCCGAGTTTGGCGTCGTAGATCCTGGAGCCGAGCTGGCCTTACATATGGGTCCTTTTCATTTCTCTCTTCCTTCCTTTCATTTTCCTCTCTTCCTTTCTTCTCTCCCGCTTCGACGCCTCCTGCTGCGTGCCGCGCGCTTCCATCCGGCGGCAGCGTCGCGTCGCGCCCTGTCTGGCCCCGGTTGCCGCACCGCCGCCGTCGCCCACCGCCCTAGTCACCATGATCGCCGCCACGCCCGCCGAGGTGGCCTCCTCGCTGCTGCCCGCCGCGCCCGCCCATCCATGGCAATGGGCCAGCGGCCCGGGCGCGTCGCGCCCAGCGCCCGTCCGGCCGTGCTACGCCGGCGGAGATCTTGATGTAGAGTCTTTGTTGGTGGCGTCGCGGTGGCGCGCGTTCTGGTGGGCTACGTGCGTGCGGACTTCAACTCATCTTTTTTCGTCTCACGCCCAAGGTGTGTTCACTCCGGCGCTTGTCACCATCCCAATGGCCCTTCTTCAATCGTAACCCGCTCAAGTTGCTGTTTCGACGCCTTGGCAGGGAGCGCCACCCGCGCCCTAGGTGGTCGCGGCCCCGTGGCATGGGGTAAGAAGTCGGGAAGAACAAGTAATTGATTGATATGTGTTCTTGGTCGATTTGACTCGACTTGTTTAAGTTCTATTCGCTGAACTAATTAATGATAAAAGAGAATGAGATATTCGACAGATTTGGTACTTCGAATGGCTCAGTTGTAGCTGAAATTTAGCTTGCAATCTTGCACGCTAGTTATCAGTTATATCTGTAATGATGATCTAAAAGGATGACAATATGCTTGGTTATACTTATGCTTTTCCATTGCTTTCGTCTGTATCTTCCATTGATTTCGTCTGTAGGCCTATTAACATTTTGTGGAAGGGTTTTTGCTGACTTCTGATGCATATCTATAGTTGGATAGTGAGTTTTTTTAACAGAGATTGCATAGTTCCAGTTTGATCCCTTGAATATGTTGTGTCGGGGACCAATACTAGGGTACCTGAAGAGGAGGAGCTAATAACCATCAACATTGATTTATCCAAGCAGTCAAGAGCGCAACTACAGCTCCAACCGACCCCCAGGCGCGCAAGCTCCGCCTCGCCCGGCCTCTGGGGAAGGGCTCCGCCTCGCCCGACCCTTGGGTCTACACTTCGCCTTGACCGGCCTCTAGGGGAGGACTCCGCCTCGCCCGACCCCGAGGCCGCGGGCTCCGCCTCGCCCGACCGTTGGGTCTGCGCTCTACCTCGCCCGACCCTTGGGCCCGACACCCTTCCTCACGTTAAACCTAGTAGCAAGGTCCGTGGAAACGAATGACTGAGCAAGGCTGGTCGGACTACGAGAAACCTACGCCCCAGCGGTTATGGCACTCTTGCTTACCAGCGTGATCAAAGTTTCCCTCCTACACCTTGAGCTCTATGGTCTTAACAAATGAAAGGGTCGAAACGCACCAAAACAAAAGAACAGACTCGGTCAAACGAAACAAAATGACAAGTTTGTTTAAGCGTTACACAAAGGTCGGCAGCTGTCCTCTGATTACATGAATGATCAACCTATTGAACTAACTAACCCCTCCTGGGGAGAACTTTGCTTTTGATCATGTCCGCCAGGTCCCGCGAAAGGGGAGCCACCGCCGCTTCCATCTCCTCCAACTCGTGGACTTCATAGCCAGGCGCAAAGCCATGACTCATCGTCTCTAGGTCGATGCTGTCCCCATAATGAGAATGAGCAACTGTGAAGGATTGGTTTACCTCAGCGCGAAGCACATTCCTCTCGAGCTGGCGCACCCGAGCTGTGATCTCAACGGCATGGCCGCGAGCGAGCTAGTCCCCTCCGACCGCACCACCTCAAGGTCATCGCATACCACTCTGAGGGCAGCGCTCAGGATACCAAGCTCATCGCTCTCCGCCTGAAGATTCCTCCTCGCCTCAGCGAGGTCCACAGCTAGCCCGGTAGAGACGCTCTCCGCCTCTAGCTTCTGGGTCGTCGCGTTTCCTAGCTCGACCTGAAGGGAGCCGACCTTCTGTTGCGCGCCATCATGCTCTTGGCAGGCCTGGTCATGCTTTTAGAGGGCCTGGTCGCGCTCCTCGCGAACCGCGCCATGCTCTGAGCGAAGCCTCTCCGCGGTTTGGAGCAGCTCATCCTGCTCCTTGCGCAGCCGGGCGACCGTCGCGGCATCCAGACTCACCCACTTCTCTAGGGCCACGAGCTTCTCCTCGGCCCCCAGCTTCAGCTCCCTCTCCTTCTCAACCTCGACTAGAAGGTCGAGGATCCGCTGGCAGGTCTCAGCGTCCTTCTGGAGCAGCTCGTCCCGCTCCTTCCTGACCTTGGTGGCCTCCTCGTCGTCCCTCCGTGATCTCGCCGATAGGGCCTCGAATGCCCTCTCGGCCTCGTCAGCATGCCGTCGAGCCTCGGCCACCCACGACTGAAGATTGTCCGCCTCCTCGGCGAGGGGAGTCAGCTCAGCCACCCTCTGCTGGGCGGCAACAAGTTGAGCGGTCACCTCCCCACGCAGCCGCGCCTCCTCGACGAGGTGGTGCCAGGTTTCCTTCTGCTCACGAAGGAACCAAGACTTCCCCCGGCTACGAGCGATAAGGGACTAAAAGAAGACGATGGTCAGAATACAAAAAATATATAGAGAAAGAAAAGGGCGAGAAGCAGGGTCAAGCGAACACCCGGCCAGAGGGAACGACAACATCGCACAAGGCACCTCGGGCGTGGTCTAGAGCTTCGAGCACGGACGCGATCCCCACGTCGAGGCTCTCCCGCTCCATGCTCTCTGCAGCGTCGTCGAGAGTGAGGAGCGTCGACGTCGGATCCTTTGGACTCGCCCACCGGAGCAGGGGCTCGCCCCGCGTAGGTGAGTCGCTGCCCACCGACGTCAGGGCCAGGGACGGCTCCCCACCGGCTCCGATCACCGCTGACCCTTCTCGCCATGACGTCCTCACCGGGACCCTCCCTCCGGCGATGGAAGGGGTCAGCGGTACGGACGCTGACTCCTCTCCCAGCACCACGACCTCCGGGGACCCCTGGGCCACGTCCCCCTCTATCCGGCCCACGCCAGACGCCATCACCTAGGCCGCCGATGGCGCAGGTCACGCCGGTTCCTCAAGCGCCGCCATGATAGCACCTAGCTGTGACCCGCCTATCACAGCCGCCGCCACCTCCGCCTGCGTCGGTGGGTTCCTGACCGGCTACATCTCATCCACCACAGTCGATGTCGCAAGTGTGGTCAGCAGCCCCGTCCACCCCATCATCGGCAGCGGTATCGCCGCCATCACCGGCTGTTCCACGACCTTCGAAGGCGTTCCTTGAGCCCCCACGTCCTCCTGTCCCACCGAGGGCATAGGCACCACCGTGGGTGGCGCCTAATCGGCCAGCGACGCAGTCACGCTGGCGTCGCTCCCGCCCAAAACAAGCACGACGCCAGCCGATGGCTATCGCCTCGCTTGAAGGACGACGCTCTTCTTTGGCGCCAGCGCCAAAGGATTACACTGCCTCCCGACACTGCAAGAGACGAAAAGCATAAGTCATGATGAAATCCGACCAAAATAGAGAAAAACAGAGGAGCTGATGACTCACCTCAGCGTCGTCGGGCGACAGATACATTTGGGGGGTGAACCCCCCGACCTCTACTCTGCCTCATCGGGGCGAGGCCGTTTCAAGCCCGTCCCCTGCTCCTGGGCAGAGGGGCTCGCTCTCCTTGGATCTTGGGGCACGACAGCGGAGCCACCCGTCTCCGCCGACACCTCAGGAGCAGTGGCAGAGCCGTCCACCCCTGTTGGCTCCTAAGGCAGGCCGACGGTACGGCCCATC